AGGGGCGAGGATCCCCATCTCCCACGGCAAGCCGTGAGTGCCCAAGGCCCACAGGCTCCTCTGAAAGTCCTCGCCCCAAACAGAGAAGGCGCCAGCGTGCCCGAGCCGGGTGCGCAGGCTGACGCTGAGCAGCCTTCGGCCTCGCTGCAGCACCCGTCAGCCCTCCGAGCCGCACGCCTCCTGCGCAGCAGGATGGGGCCAGGAGGCATCTGAGCAGCTTTGGGGCTGCCAGGCAAGGTAGCTGCTGGGAACCTCTGTGCTCCTCTGCGGCCCCGACAATAAATCTGTGATATCCAGCCTACAACAACTACCATCTCCCACCCCTTCCCTGCCCAAATGAAACAACAGAATTCTCTTTAATTTTTTTCCACGCTGTCTTTGACATTTTGAAGAAATCTTTGTGGTTGCAATGCAACCTGCCAATGGCGCTAGCTAGGTACGTACCAGCTGACCTCATGCACACCGCTCCTGCTGTTCAAGCGTCACCCCAAGAGTAATTGTCGTGAGGGCGATTATAAGCTGTGGCAATTTGCTGTGTTGCTGCTAAAAGTGTATCCGCTGCAGCGGCTGGCTGAGCCCTGCCACCGTCAGGCTTCTTCCAAAGGAAAAAAATAACGTTTATTTCATAGTGGCGATAGCAGGTACACCGACTTGTGCCAAAGTCTCCTTTCTCCACCCATGCATCCAGTGCCTTATACTGACCTTTAGAAAATAACTTACTACACTTTAAACTTTGCTGCAGCACATGGAAATTCAATTTGCTGAATAAATGGTCCACAGGCAAGTACTGCGCGTTAAGGGACGTTGACAAGTCAGGTATGTTTGAGGAAAAATACTGGTAAAATGCCATTGATGCGAGGGTATTTTTAATGCTGCGCAAAATGTTGAGTCCTTTGTAACAATCTCCTGAAGCATGAATAATGATTTAATGGAATGAACAACCTTTTTATTTGAAAATAATGCCAAAACACTTAGAAAACTGTGAGCAAGACATGTAGCACCGTATTTTCCTCACATGTTAATAACTCACATATTTCCTCACATACTACCGTATGCAGTACGTACAACTGTATACATGAACAGAGCTATTTATAAAAAAAAAATCAGCTGGAAACAGATTCTAGCAGCAGCAGCAGATTAGAAATGACTATCAGTTTTTTCGTGTTACATATTCTTTTTCTGCCTTTACAAAATATTGTATTGTCCTATCAATAGCTGACTGAAATCCATGTTGTGCTTTGTCCCTATTAAACAGTTTCTTCATGTGTTTCTGATGGAAAATAATAAAGTCTCTCTTTTTCAGTAATATGGAACATCCTGGAAAGCCATATTACTTCCATAAAAAATTAATTTAAAGCACAGAACATGCCGGTGTGCCAGTGGTAGGCTTAAAATATTAAAGGTTTTAAAAAAACCCAAAACAACCAACAAACCCCTAAGCATTTCCTTTCTGTACAATAATGGAGAATATATATCTTTGCTATATATTTTAAACATGGAATAGCTTTTTCTTTTTGCTATATATATGTCTTTCAAAATACATTGTCAGTATTTGTACTTGAAAAATACTGTACAAAACGAACATACTATAATTATTCTGTATAAACTTTATACATTTTATAATATCTATTCTTTTGGTCTATAGTAAACACTTAGATTGATTGGATTAACCACAGTATATGACAACACCATCCCCTTCTGAAATACACCAGTGTCTCTTACATTCATTTTTCAGAAGTCCACTTTATATTAGAACATACACGTTCAAAAGCAAATAAGAGTTTAAAACAATAAAGTTCAGAACCATCAGTTCATGTCACACTCAAAACAACAATCACTAGGAGAAATGGGCTTTGCAAACCAGTGACTTCTTCTAACTGAATAAAAGTGATTTTTAAAACAGCAAGATATAATCCACAGAAAATATATTACAAAACATGGGAAAAAACAACTGAATTTAGGTATTTATTTAATTTTAATCACGAAATAGAATTTGAAGAAATGCATAACTAACTGAAAACAGAAAAGCCCCTCAGATTTTGACATTGGATCTGATTTGATACTATTAATTTTGTTCTCATTTCAACTAATTATCCTGCTTCTTATACATGCGCTCCCTATAGCAGGGATACAATTAGCATGCTGACGTTAATGCGTCTTTTACTTTATAACTTTTTGTTAAAGACATTAAAACTCCTGTTGGGTAGGGAAACCATCCTACGTCCACTAGGAACATCCGGGCAGCATGCGCGCTAGCGTACAATAGGATTATTGCTTCAGGTACAGACAGTGCAAAATACACACTCTGTGGTCTACCAACAGTACTCCTACCTACCTGGGGTCTGTGGAAAGAAAAGGAATCTTAATAGCTATAGAGAAGCCATTATGGGATCTATAATGAGTATAGCTAAGTCAGTCTAACAGCACTTTAAATCTGAAAACAATTATCACCAAAACTTAAAATACAACAAAAGCAATCTATAAATTAATATTTCTGCAGTGTAGTACTAAATTATTTGTGCACTTTATTAGCATGTTAACTTTTCTGATTAGACATACTTAAACAATAGCTTGTTACTCTCGAAAAAACTGAGATCTACTTTTTTTTCTTTTTTCTTTTTTTCCTTTTTTTATAATTTATACTGGGATCTTTCCAAGTAAATCAGGAGGATGGAACTGGTTACAATAACATAAAAACCCTAATCTGAAGCAGCACTGAAAAAATATAATAAAAAGCTTACTATGGCGGTTCTCAACAGTCCAGGTAAAAATGTGGCACCCTTTGAAGAGGGCTTCATAAAAATGGGAAGTGCTGAGATGCGTGCGCACGCACACACACACACACACGCACAAGCACACACACATACACGGACGTGTGAACGCACATGTGCACACATACGCAGGTACACGCATACGCAAACAAAAGAAAAATAACGTAAGTCAGTTTTGTTTCTGCTTCTGGTAAAGTGCTGAAGACAGAAAGGTTGGTTTGGGTGTGGTGCTATCAAACAGGAAACACATTGTCCATCTATTCAAATGCCAACCCGCAACAAAAAACAAAAACAAAAAAAAGAAAAAAGAAAAAAACCCACTCCCCCCCCTCCTTGAATTTACAGGGGACCGTGTCGAGCTTCGTACTTTGCGAGGACGTTCTTGCATTTGCCCAGCTCTTTCCGTAAGTCGGCCACCTCCTGGCGGAGAGCCGAGTTCTCCTTCTCCAGAAACGAGGCGCGGATGGCGATCTGGTTCTCCTTCAGCCGGCGGGCATCCCTCGATCGCTTAGCAGCCATGTTGTTCTTTCTACGCCTTGCCCAGTATTTGTCATCCTGCTCATTAAACACAGACAGAAACGAACAAGACGTTAGGTTTCAGTAAACTGAGCAGCCACCCCCATGTGCTCTTCGCCACTGCCTCCGGACTGGGGATGACTTCTTAACTCTGCACAATGCCAGGCACTGCTGGGACAAATGTTACGGATTTACATGGCATAATCCACCCAGGGAGCACAGATGCCTGCCCGTGTTTCTGTCAAAACGTTTACGATAACCCCCTCATCCTCTTGGCTGTGAATTCCTCCAAGGAAAAATGAAGCAATATTCCAGGAGCACAGTTCATCTCACATCTCCGCTGACCTAGTTAGCACATCCACCTTCGGATGTGGTGACTCACTCTCTACCGGTTGCTGGAGCGCTACTAATTACCTCCTGTATGTCCCTGCTCGTCTTTGCCAGCCAACACCTGGTTCACTCTCTTTGCTGGTATCATCCATTTCGTCTACCGTTCAGCTCTTTTTTCTGTTCAAAGCTCTTCTCTACAGAGCCCCAAAGCGTTCCTATTTGTACCCTAGAACAGCAAGTCACTGGAAGAGGATTCCTTGGCACAACAAGGATGGCTGCTTTGGTACCATCCGCAAAGAGATTAGTACAATAGGCTTTGTGGAAAAAAAAGCACTTGCCAGAAATAGGTCCACTAACCTCTGAAGTTTCATAACCTAACACATTCCCGAAGTGTTACCCCTAAAGATTTGCCTCTAGGAGATCACCTTATTGCACTGATGCATCAATGGCTCTAAAGTCACGACTTCATTCCACCTGATTTTTCCACTCTTCAAATGAAGTGGCCTTCAGTGAAATGGCAGCTTTAATGTTGCTTTGAAACTGAATTAAGTTCTAGAAATTTGGAACAACTCGGTAAATACAAAGTGGGTAGAACCTCACACAAAAAGTGAAATTCAGTCCCCTGCAGAGTGAGAGCGATGCAGCCATTCACTCTCAAATTCCTGGTCAAGCCATACAGCTCAAACTTCCCCACGTCATGGAGTCATCCCTCCATTTTTATACGCTTCCATTTGCTTGTGTGGCTCTCTTGTTTCACCAAATGTGGTAGCACAGTTCCACATCCACCACAGGGACCACGAGCCATCTGCTCCAACGTTGCTCTGAATACACAAATACTCACCGCTCCTCTGTCCTTCACCATGAAGCGTGCCAGGCCTGATACTGCTGCTCTGCATCTTCTCCCGCTGCTTGCATAAAGGCAAAGCAAGAGCACGACGACTGCTAGAAGTACTCTACAACTGCTTTATATTAGTTTAGCTTAACGAGCTGTGCAGCAATGCTGATTTGGAGTCAGCGCATCTCTAAACTGCTCTTCACCTGTACTTAGATGGGATCCCCAAAAATCCTCCTAAAAACAAGCATGCAGCAAAAAGCTATGACCCAAATCTCGTTTATAATTTCCCATCTCATTCCACTCTATAAAAATCAGCTTTAAGCAATTTATTAGTGTGCCACCTAGGCTTCATCTATCTTTATTTTAACAAATTGCTACGGCAAATCCCTTAATCCAGGCCTGAAAGAGGTAAGGCTGGCGTTTCCAAATCACATGCAACCCAGAGACGATTGACTGGTCTAATCTGCTTACCCTCCCCCAGAACTCAACAGCCATTCCGCATGCCAGGGCAGAAGCAGCACTTGGGTCAAGCACTCTGAAATGAGTCAAGGGCAACCGATGTGATTATCTCTGGGAAAAGAGACCCTGAACTTCCAGTTCCATCTTAGGCTGAAAGCATTGCACACTGCAATGACAACAGAGCATCACTGGTAGTAAAATTTGCGCGGGTAAATAATGACATGGTGCAGATAAACCTTTCTAACTGAAAGCTGAGGATACTACAGACAAAGTAACAGCAACACACCACCTGAACACTACTGGCATTGTGATTTCTGTGCTTTTACCTTGCACAACAGTATCCTTAGGGATAAAAACAGCAAATAGCATCAGCTTCTCTCCCTAATGCTATGAATCTGGTGTAAACACATGGCATCCCAGTCTCTTCACGCCACGCAGCCAGGGATTCCCACCGACCCCAGCAGGCTTTCATCTGTGTCTTGGGGGGCAGTAGCAACAGTGGAATGAAATTCTGCACTGAATACCACCGATAACAAAGATCCTCTTGGAAATCACATACTGGGAATGGAATTTTGCAAATAATAACAATTTTCACAGTTGTTTGATGAGCTGAATCAGTTGATCAATTTGTTTTGCTCTCTTCATGTTCTTTGCTCTTCACATCTCAGAAGCACTGAGAGGCATAGACAAGGGTGCTCTTTCTTTTTAAATACTGTATTGTTATTGTAATATATTAAAAATATTGTATTAAAATACACTTCTTGGGAGAATAATTTCATTCTGTTTTCCTACAACTAGTTCAGATTCTTTCACCTAGATTAGTAGTGTTTACTATAGTGTTCCCATTCCTTATTAAACACAGAGCTAAAGAAACTTCCAAACAGGACACAATATACTTCATTCTGTCATTATCAGGGACCTCCATGGACCCTGTAAGAGACGGATTCTTCCTTGAAGAATTCACAATCTATGCTGATGAGACAGACAGAGGATGGAGGGAAAGGAAACATGATCAGACTGTTTCATAAGTGGGAAATATGGGACAAAGTAAGCTAGTCCAAGGTCACGCAGGAAGTTTCTGGCATACAAAGGAAATGAATATTGATCTCATGAATTTCAACTGTTGCATAACTAGTAAGGGACATCCTCCCCTCAGTCTTACTCAGAACCATTAGAGTTTTATTCTACAACAAAGTCATATTTAGTTTAGCAGATTTATCTTACATGAGAAAACAGATTCATGCTCCAAACCTGTATCTCAGAGAATAACTGTCACAGAGTCTGTACGAACAACCTCGTCACCAGTTCCAATTTACCTTCAGGTCATCTGGAATGAAGACTTTGCGAGCTTTCTTAATCATTGGCTGTGGTTTCAGCTCTTCTTCAGAGAATTTGCGCTTACGAGGGTCAAACATCTCCTGGCCAGGAATACTGGAAAGAGCAAGATCTGCAGGATCAGGTTCGTAGCCAACAGGAACCTGGATAGTCTCGGGATCAATGGGACTTGGTGTGTTTCGGTTTGCTGGCAAGATCTGACCTGGAGAAATAAAGGATAAATTCAGCTATGTTAGAAGAAAACTGAACATGAATTTTAGAAGATCTCTAAATACTTTACAAGCAATAATTCTTTAAGCTTTCACTGTAATTTTGGTATCTACTCTTGCTAAATATCAGATTGTCCATTTTGTAGGGTGCATATTCAGATCCAGACACGCTCATGCCATTATTTTCAGAATTGGTTCCTAATTCTAGCTGCTAATCTTGGATGCCCACTTAAGATCACTGAATCCAACAGAGAGTTACAGTAGACTAAAGGCAGAAGACATATTGTTCCAACCCATGTCACTTTGTTAAGATCACATCCTCAGGAACAAATCACAAGGATTGTCATTTGGCTCTGATTTATCCACCACACTGTAGTCCTTCTCAGTTTTCTCATATTTCTTCATACATATCCCCGAGGGTACATGTAGTTTACAATCAAACAATGTACAGCATTTGCAATAGGACAGCATCTCATGAAAATGTACTTTCAAGCTGTGCTGAAGCACTCTCCGCTAAGGAGACTGCTATTTTCTATGAAATCCTACCGGTCATATTCTAAAAGACAGCGAAGGAAACTAGCAACATGAAAGGCTACAATGACTACTTAAAGATGCTCTGCAAAAAATGAAAGAACACTTTTTTATGCCACATTGTTCTTTTATGGTATATAAAATCTAATAAAATGGAGCCTATCCCCAGAAAAGAATTATATCCTCCCCCTCCTTTTAATTTTTAATTTTAGATATAGCCTTCAAGATCCTACAGCACCAATTCAGGCACCATTCCCACTAAATATCCAATTTAAAATCTCAACCAAAGGTTCCAAAAATAGGAGCCTAAAGTCAGCTGCCTAAACACGGACTATCCCCGGGGGCAGAATTTTCAGAAGTTTTCACATGCCTCAGAAGTACAAGCCTCACAGACTTCAGAGGGAGGATTTCTGATTGAAGCAGATATTCTTTTATAATTTTGGCTATTAGCTAATTCACTTTGACTTTAAAGATACAACAGCTTTCATAATAACTACACAAACATCCTGTGACTGCATAATATTTCCTTATTTGTGCCCACATCTGCAATATTTAGGGTGTAAAATGGTAAACATTAAATGTCATTTCTAATTCCAATCCAAGGCCAGTGTTAACAATGTAGTTTTAATTTTAATCTGGAAGATTGCGGCACCAGTATTGGAACTGCATAGAAAACGCACAGGGGAAGTGCATTGTGCAAACCTGGGCCTGCTAACGGAGAGCTCGTCTTTTGTAACTCCTATTTTAAATCAGCACTGATAAAATCAGCTTCCAGGAAAGGCTAGTAACGGCCTGGGAGAAGAGAAAAGGAGGCTCAAAGTTATTAAAATATATATACACCTATAGCAGAGGGAGCGAGAGGCAAGGATCTCGCTACCCGCATTGTACCAACAGCAGGGCGCTTCCCCCTCTGCCTCCGGACCCGGCACGGCCGCTGCCAAGACCTCGGTGCTGAAAACTAGACGTTTCCTGCTGTGCCTCATTAACACCACCAGAAACCGCGGCCTGCCCGACTGCTGGCCACA